CCTCTTAAACCATCCAAGCAGTGTGCTGTTGCTAGTGGTAGGGCAAATAGGATTTTAGCTTGTACCTATAGAAATATTGAAGACAAGTCTAAAGAGGTTATAATTTCATTGTACAGGTCACTGGTTAAGGCCACATTTAGAGTACTGTGTTCAGTCTTGGGCTCCTTACCTTAGGAAGGACACTGAATTATTGGAAAGGGTTCAGAGGAGGGTTACTAGAATGTTGCCTGGGATGGAGGGGTTGTCATACAAGAGGTTAAAACCTCTCAAATTGTTTTCTCTTGAAAAAAGAAAAATCACAGGGGATCTGATTGAAGTGTTTAAGATTGTAAAAGGAATTGATAGTGTTGATGCATTATCTTTTTTAATGGTGAGAATAGTAGGACTAGGGGACACAAAAATAGATTTTGGCATGGTAGGAGTCATCTTTAGCTAAGACTGTTTTAATTTTCTAACAGAGTGGTTGGCCTTTGGAATGGGTTGCCTTCAGATGTTGTGTACGCAGTAGTATTCTGTAGTGGAGATAAGATATCAAATCGGAATCAGATATTTTCTTGATTGTTATTTTAGGCTTTTTCATTCAGCATTTTTACTTCACACCTCTGGAGTAAGTTCTATTATTACTAATGTGAAGCTAAGCACATCAGAATGAATCAAACATCAAAACTACCTAGATATCAGTATTTCAATTACACTAACAAATGCTGTATTATGTAAATTTGTGGTAGAAATCCATGAAATTAAAATAATTTTTTCATAATTAACCTTTTTTTCTACAAAAACTATAAATTATCAGAAGTATTTCACACAATGCTGTTACACCACTTTTCCACTAGTACGTCTACCACATGAATAAAGTTCTTGAAGTTTACACTCACCTGATAAACCTTCTAACCCAGATTTAATCTGTTGAAACTCCTCTTTTGGTTCACTTTTCAAACTCATAACATCATGTTGTGAACAATCAACAGATTCATCACTCTCACTGAACTTGGAAATAATGTCATCGTTTGTTGAATCAACACTTTGCTCAGTTTTTACTTGGACAAATGTGTTCTAAAACAAAAGATTATCAACAATAATTAACGTTATCAATGTAAAACACAAATACACCATATAAAATTTGATATTTTGGTATTTTTGCTCTGAAATTATATCTCACAAGTTTCCTTAGTAAACTAAACAATATCTTTACTTCAAAACTGCTTTACATAACAAACACAAGTAATATCAGTAAACTCCACAATAATATATCATGTGGTCACAGCACAAACTTTTCTATTCCTACCTACTGTGTAGTATTCTAAGGTGAAACACATTTCTCCCACATGTGCCAAGATAAGTCCACAGAATGAAGGATATTCGACAAGGTATTTATCATGAAGAAATTCTGAAATTTCTAAATCTGACCGAGTTTGGGAAAGAAAGAGTGAACACCATATAAAACACAGAATGAAAGTAATCTTATTTAAACTCAAAACAATGGTCAGTAGAGTGAGAAGAACTGAATAACTTGTTTGACTAGTGTGTTATGTTGAAATATTTCTGAGGATTTCTGTAATTTTAATGTTTGTGCTATTTGGAATGATATTTTAATCTATATTAAATTTGTTTTATTGATAATTGGTACTGTAAGTGCACTGTTAAAAATACAATTCTCCCTGGACTATATGCTATCATTTTTAACTTTATAATCAGTTAAATCTTGTTCTGAAGATATAAGACTCAAATTGTACTCCTTGTATTCAGATTCTCTAACTTTGATCATAAACAGTTGTATAATATTATGTCTACCTAACATCCATATGTTATTTCTCTGATTTCACATTGTCAAAATTGTCTTAATATCTTTCTGAAATTTAGTTGCCTTGTTTGTCAGCTCTATGTTTGTACTATGATTATGTTTCTTGATCCTACAGTTTACTACTGTGTGTTCACTTGTATCAAGTAAATTGGTTTTCATTTCATGGATTTAAAGTTTTTTTGTTCATATGTTAAGATGAGACATAAAAGTTTTAGATCTTTCAGATGAGCACTATTCTTCTTTTAGTCATCGTTGATGTCTTAGTTAAGCACTTTTTTGTTACTGTTAGTCATGGTTTCAGATGTTTTTAATCTTTTACTGGTTATCTCCAGCATCAAGACTTCTCACAGTTTGTTCTGTTTATGTTGTTTTCTTTTTCATTAAGTGCTACACATGATATTGTTCTATGTTTTAATAATTTTTTACTTGTCATACTCTGACTGATTAACTACTAAGTTTAAGAACTGTCCACATCACATTATGGAGCTGACACAAATCACAGAATTAATTAAACCTCTATTTTCCTTTGTCTTTAGTTTTTATTATTCACTCATGCATTAAAAGACAAATTTATATAATCAGATGAGTCTTGTTTTTCTGAACAAAATACATGAAATAATATAAATGAGCTAACATATTATCGTTATCACTTAGCTTCCATGTTTAGAATCGGATAGGAAGTAAATCCTTGCACGTATTATGTTTATGTATTTCTTTGTGTGCTACAAATCATCTAAAATTCTAAACTTGTGTATACACTATTTTCTACATGTGGATCGCCATGCAACTTAATTTTGACTACAGTCAAACTTTTGATGGATGATGCATGTTAGAATATAAGTTTAACTAGTTATAAAATAAAACAAGAAACAGTTGTTTGAAGTAGTAGTTAGGAAAGTTTTTTAACCATTTGGGGCCTTGAATCAAACAATAATTGGTTATCAGAGTAATAGTGACATCCTTATTGGTTAGTAACTTTTGTAATAGTGACATCTTTATTGGTTAATGACTTTTTGTTACATTTGACATCCTTATTGATTAGTGACTTTTGTAGTATTGACATCTGTATTGGTTAGTGACTTTTGTAATAGTGACATCCTTATTGGTCAGTGACTTTTGTTACATTTGACATCCTTATTGATTAGTGACTTTTGTAGTATTGACATCTGTATTGGTTAGTGACTTTTGTAATAGTGACATCCTTATTGGTCTGTAACTTTTGTAATAGTGACATCTTTATTGGTTAGTAACTTTTGTAATAGTGACATCTTTATTGGTTAGTAACTTTTGTAATAGTGACATCCTTATTGGTTAGTAACTTTTGTAATAGTGACATCTTTATTGGTTAGTAACTTTTGTAATAGTGACATCCTTATTGGTTAGTAACTTTTGTAATAGTGACATCTTTATTGGTTAGTAACTTTTGTAATAGTGACATCTTTATTGGTTAATGACTTTTGTAATAGTGACATCTTTATTGGTTAGTAACTTTTGTAATAGTGACATCTTTATTGGTTAGTGAATTTTGTAATAGTGACATCTTTATTGGTTAGTAACTTTTGTAATAGTGACATCTTTATTGGTTAGTGAATTTTGTAATAGTGACATCTTTATTGGTTAGTGAATTTTGTAATAGTGACATCTTGATTGGTTAGTGACTTTTTTTTTACCTTGAATGGACAAAACTCCTGTTTTGCCTTGTGAGGTAAACTTGGTTTTTAGTAAAGCTCTTTATTTCACACTTTATGCCATGATTTTATGATGATTTTTTGTGGTTTTATTAAAAACTTCGACATTGAATATGTACATCTTTATACTGAATAACATGACTGGCATTTTTGTTTATGATCTCCCTGATGACTCAATAGATAGTTTGTCATAATACCAGCATCTTCAGTATTTAGTTTACTGTTTGAATTGTGAATCTGTATTTTATTTGCACTGCTGAAATTTTTAGTGGATATTACTAATTGTGTAATTACTGGGCTCATTGACCAATTACATTCAACTAATTGGTTATTCTTATGTGACACTTAGGTATTTCAAATAATTGAAAATGATAGTAGTTTGACTCATAAATTTTGATTAATTTATTATTTTTGTGAGTAGTGACACTAATCAGTTAACCTGAGCAACTTTTAATTAATTAATAACAATAATGAGAAGTCATAATGGCAATATTTCAATTACTTGGATAGTTGTAATAATCAACAGGAGTAATAATAATAAACATTTATTTTTATTAGTAACTTATTTTTGTGACATTAATCAATCTAATTGGTGCTCATAGGTAATTGATTATATCAATAAATTGAGTTAATTGCTTAGCTGTAATTGACAGAGAATGAAATACAAAACTTTTGTGTCGATAAAACTTGAACCTAAGAAAAAATGGCTGGTTTTATACTATTAACACTTGATAAAATATTTAAAAATGAAAATTAAGAATCAGAATGGTAAAGCACTGTTTTGTTTATATTTGTGAATAATCTGTCTGATAGTTAGCTGTATTATAAGAATGTCTTTGTAGTTTATATTTGTGAATAATCTGTCTGATAGTTAGCTGTATTATAAGAATGTCTTTGTAGTTTATATTTGTGAATAATCTGTCTGATAGTTAGCTGTATTATTAGAATGTCTTTGTAAACTTTTTTTTGTGTGTGTGCATCTATTATTGAAGTATGAAAAGTTTTGGTCACTTAAATGTTTTCTAAGATGTACAAATTATTTTTAAATTAATCTTTAATATGGTGTTTTCTTTTTCAAATCTGACTATAATAATTTCAAGGATGTATCAAAATATATTAACATGTTTGAAAGTTTAAGTTACATGTGCACATATAATGTAATTCATTTTTTTCTGAGGATTTCTGTAATTTTAATGTTTGTGCTATCTGGACGATACTTTGATTTTTATTGAAGTTGTTTTATTGATTATTGGTTTTGTAAGTCACTGTTATAAATACAATTTTCCCTGGACTATTTGCTATAATATTTTCTTTATAATCATTTAGATTTTGTTCTGAAAATATAAAACTCAATTTATACTCTTTGTATTCAGATTCTCTAGCATTGATCATAAACAGTTGTATAAGGAAACTTGTGAGATATGCTTTCAGAGCAAAGATACCTGTTGTAATTTATCAAGTTTTGTATGGAGTGTTTGTGTTCTGCATTGACAATATTAATTATTATTCATCTTTTTTTGTGTTGTAGAACACATTTGTCAGATTAAAAACTGAACAAAGTGTTGATTCAACAAACGATGACATCATTTCCAAGTACAGTGAGAGTGATGATGAAACTGTTGATTGTTTAGAAAATGATGTTATGAGTTTGAAAAGTGAACCAAAAGAGGAGTTTCAACAGATTAAATCTGGGTTAGAAGGTTTATCAGGTGAGTGTAAACTTCAAGAACTTTATTCATGTGGTAGACGTACTAGTGGAAAAAAGGTATTATAGCATTGTGTGAAATACTTCAAATAATTTATAGTTTTTATAGAAAAAGGTTAATTATGAAAAAATTATGTTAATTTCATGGATTTCTACCACAAATTTACATAATACAGCATTTGTTAGTGTAATTGAAATATTGATATCTTGGTAGTTTTGATGTTTGATTCATTCTGACGTACTTAGCTTCACATTAGTAATAATAGCACTTACTCCAGAGGTGTGAGGTAAAAATGCTGAATGAAAAAGCCAGAAATAACAATCAGGAAAATATGTAGTTTCGATACTTCACTCACAAAAGCTTTTTTTCTCAACTTACACTGCCCTCTGTCGGTGCAAATATTCACTTGCTGCTAGCTTTGACACTCCCACTTACCCTCACATATGTTAACATGAGATATCTGCATACTAACATACAAATTATTATGCAGCAACTCTCCACCAATAGGATTGCAACACCACCCCTGTCATAACTAGCACCCTCTCTCACCTTGCAGCCCTTAATCACTTCTCTATTTGCAGTTTTAGAAGATTTTTTTGCTTTTGTGTTTAGACTGATTATTTGGCTTAATTGCCAAAGTTTATAATTTAAATTTTTGGTTGCAAGTTTTGTTTTTTGAATTTGTATGGTTTTGTGATCAGTTTTTGAGTTAATATTTTTTCTGGTCAACTCCATTCTTCTTCTTTTACACACAATTCCATGTGGCTTCTACTTCAGTTGCTGTTGGACACTGTTTTGGGGGCAACTAGCTTTGCTCTACAATATACCAACATTCATAATACATCAGACATAGTACAACAATGTTTTACTCAGCTTTGGATTATAATTCTCAGTTTGAGGATTATTTGTCACATCTCCTTGTGTTCTGAGGTGATCACAGTTGGTCAGATCTAAATCATTTATTGGTTCTCTCACACTTCACCATGGAGTCATAATTTGGCCTTTTTGAGTTTTCCCTCATGCTTTGGGGTGGATGAGGGTGTTGTGTCAGATGTATTCCTCCTCATTAACCTTTACCCTGCATCCTGACTTTCTTTTTTTGGTCCTTAGGGGTTGTGTGTATTTTCAGTCCGGACTCATCCATTGGCATTGGATCTCTCCTGTTTGATCATCTAGGTGTGTGCCTGTCTTGTCCCTTTCCAGGGGCCATCATTTCTACCGTGGCATGGATTTCTGTCTGCGTCTGATCTGAAAGGCTGACCCTGCCTTTCTTATTCATTTTCTTCTGAGAGTAGAGGCTCAGACTGGTTGGTTGATGCAGGTGGAAATGTCTTTTCCTCACCCCCACGCAATACCTAGTTCATCTTGGCATGGTATTTTATTCTCTCCTTAGTTGGGCCTAATTTTCTCCCTTTTTCATTTAGGACAATGGAGATTCTAGTTTGCAACCTCTTCTATCTCTACTTTGGGGACATGGGCTTCTTGGGAGGCTCTCATCCCTCTTGGTTATGGCCTCATGTGTCATTTTTAGTAGGTTTGTTTGTCCAGAGAAGCCTTGTGTGGGATCCTTTGGATGGTCCTTTCATCCTTTTTCCTTCCTTCCAGACCAACTTTGCCTGGCTGTTGAATTGGAACAACACCTGTTTAGGTGTTCCTCTTTCTCCTCCACATCCAGAATGTCTCCTTTTTCTGGATGCTTCTCTTTCTAGTTGGGGTGTCTTCTGGTTTCTCAGGAGGTTTTGGGAAGGTGATCTGTTTTGGAGTTCTCTCTCCTTTCCATCCCATGGAGCTCCTAGCTGTTCGATGGGAGCTGGCTCACTTCCTGCCAGCCCAACATGGACGGTCAGTGATAGTGTTTTTCGGCTACTCCTCTGTAGTCTCATACATTTTTAGGTAAGGAGGCACTCGGTTAAGTGACTCATGTTTTAGGCCTTTGGTCCCCCTGTGTTGGGCAACAGCCCTTAAATTCATAAGTTGGCCTGTCACATTCTGGGTGCCCTGTACCTCTTTGAGGATTGTTTATCACATTCCAATTGGATTCTCCCTGAGGAATGATCACTGTACCTATGGATTGGGAGGAGGGGAGGACTCTTTGCTCAGTGAGGTGTTCTGGATCTGGATGCTTTTTTCACTCGTCTCAATTCTTAACTCACCTGGTTTTAGTCTCCTATTTAACATCCATTGGCTGGAGCATTGGAGCTCTCAGTCTGGATTGGTTGGGTCTTTCCCAATATTTGCCTACCCTCCTATTTATCTGCTTTCTCACATCCTTTCCAGACCACTCTGTGTCAAGTTCTGTTGATAGATCCAATTTGGATGGTTCCACTTTGGTTCCTCTTGGGTGCCATCTACTTCTCTTCATCTTCATATTCCTTTCTATCTCCTACACCCTAGCCCAGCATATGTCATCTGTCTGTTCACATTATTATTCTTCATTAGTGGCTTTTGTCAGGCCCCTGGTCTAGTGGAACAGGTTTATGCAGTTTGACATCCTTCTTTTTCCCATTCTCTTTGTTTTTCTTCAGTGGGTTGGATAACAAAAGACTTTTTCCCTTTCGTTAACCCTTTTGCCCCGGGTACCCTTTACTGCGCATGACACAAGGTTTTAGTGTCTTACATTCAAAATTTTATTAAACTACTTTATGTTTATGTTGTACCAATTAGACTAGCATAAAATTTTAGCTAATAATCCATATTTTAATAGTAGACAAGTTTTAAGTTTTTAATTCTACAAGGCAATCTTTTAAAAAATCCTGAATTTCCACTAGTGTGACCCACGTGACACATTTTTTCTTAGCATGTCATCATCACTATTTTATCCAACATCCCTCGAAAAAGTATGAAATTAAACATAAAATATTCTATATAAAATCGTTATTGCTCAAACAAACCATAATTTTTATAGCCCTTCAATCTTTTTAAGTTATCTAAGACTATATTAGGTAAAATAAATTAGGTTCACAAGGGACACACGCAAGCAACTCATGGGTAATGTAATTTGATAGCGTAACGTGAGCTGCATGTTCCCCGAGTGATTTACAACTTATAATGGCATGGATAGTAGTTAGACACAGTTCAAAGGGCAACAAAACAATAAAATTTAACGATAAATAGCTGTATACTGTTACGAACATAGAGCTCCTTAGGATAAATGAATGTAGTTTCATGTTACAATTTGAAGTCATTCTAGAAAAAAAAAGGGGGTAATTTAGGTTTATTTTGAATTTTTTTTTTTTTGTGGTTACAAGATTGGTCAAGTTGACCAATCTCATTTCAAGATAGGGTAGAGCAAATAACAGGTAAACTATAAAGTTTTACTGAAAAAATATGTTTGAAATGCATTTAGGAGGTTTTAGGAATTGCAAAAAGGAAATTTGAGATTTTTGAGATGATGAAAAGTATTTTTAATTTTAACATGAAAATTATATTGCACATGGACTATTCAAAACAAATACTCAGTATATTAATTGACAAATCTTTATTTTTTTATTAAAGGTACTTCACTAAAAATATGATTTTTTGTGTGTGAAAGACTTATAATATGAACTGAAAGACTGTCAAATTTTTTGAAGATATACACACTATATTGAAAGTTAGAAATATTAAATCTATAAAGACTAATCGAGTACAAGGAGGTCACATGTCCGTCAAATTGACAGAGCCCGTGTTGAGAGAGTTAATTTCCGAGATCATCCTTTTTACCCAATACTTCGGTGGCTTGAGTAGGTATTTTTGCCTCCACACCCATCTTTCTTTCTTTCTTTCATATCACATTTAAGCCATTCTGGTCTTATTTGTCTCCTCTGCCTGGTTGGGACTCTCCCGCTGTTACTGGGCATGCACTGATTCCTTCCATGGGAACTGCTCCCATTGTTTATTCCTTGGTATCCTTCCCAGCCCTGTGACCATTATCCATTACCTTTATGGGTTGGGTTTGCCAGTAGATTAGTCTGGTTTTATTCTGCCTTATTTTCCCTTCATATTCATAGCCTCATCTGTCGCTGGCTGCTCATTTCCATCATCCATTGGAGGACTTCATCGGTGCCAATATGCGAACCACTCTCCATACATTTACTGCTCATTACCTTCACTAACCAGCCGTTTCTTGTTCTGATGGATTTTGTTTTCCTCCAGTCACCATATTGCACTACACATTTTCTCTGTGAGTGGGTAAGTGCTCCAGTAATCTTCTTTTCTTTGCAGGGGCCTTTATTGCATATATGGATCCCACTCAGTGGAGAATGTTGCATTGCAAATGGTAGGTGGACCTTTCATCTCTCTATTTTGGAAGCCACCTTTATTAAAACACATAAACCTGTCATTTGTCACCAAAAATAATTCCTATACAATCTACACATTGTTCAGTAGGTCTGTGACATTTCCTGATTGGCTAAAGGACATGCCAGTCAGTGATTGCCTTACTGGCCTATTTTGATCTGACTCATTTTATAAGCCGTACTATTTCCTATAGGTCATTTTCCAGACGGTTCTGCTATGATTAGTATCTGGTGAAAACCTTCAGCAGTTATTTCTTTTGCAACATCTCAACCAACAATTGGTCCAGTTATCAATGCTATTTTCAAGTTTTGAACAACTCAACTTTCAAGATCTACATATCTGCATGAGCCGATGTTTCCATTTATGAATGTTATATTTTAAGATCTGTGCAAGAACTTAGCTAACAGATGAACAGGTTATATTATACCCACCGTTGAGATGGGGTGTTCTACAAGAATGCCAGTAGGTATGCTTCTTGGTATTTTGTTTTATAAATATGTTCATCCTGGACCATCCACTCATGAACTAACATGAGTAAAACAGACAGAGATCTCTGAGAATTTGTGGAGTTTGACACTCATCTTACCGAGGACCTGATGTACAATTTCAGATGCCACCTGGTTTTGGAAAATGTACTCTGTCAGTGCGACTGATCTCCTTTTCAAAATATGTTATTGCAGTCACTATTTGCACTGACTCTGGTGCTGCACTCCTTTGGACTCTCCAATGCACTCATTCCCTCCTTCTTCTAGTGGACCGTGAAAGCCTGTCATCCTGAGTGTGCACAATGCCGCTCAGGTTGAGAGTAGTGCGGTGGTGTTCTGCATGTGTAGGTGGCACTTACACACTCCTACCACAGACCTGATGTACAATTCCATATGCCATCAAGTATTGAAAGATGCACTCCACCAAAAATTGCAGTTTGCCCCTCCGGCTGAGGCACTCTCCTCCCTACCATCCACCAGATGTCTGGTGTTGGGTGGAGCTGGACCAACCATATAAGTCCTCATATGTGTTTGGATGATTACCCTCTTCCTACTGTGGATTGGATGTTTTCCATACTGCTGTCTGGTTTTGGACTGGAGATGCAACCCCAACTAGTGGTCTTTCCTCGTACCATCCACTGGATGTCTGTTCCTGGGGATCTGGTATTGGTTGTAACAGGACTAGACACATAAATTCCTGCATGTGGGTGGCTGGGTACCCTCCTCCTACCATGGATTGGACAATAAATTCCCAATGCTGCCTGGATTTGAAGGGGAGATGCATCCCCATCTGGGTTCTCTGTGTTCCTACCATCCACCAGATGTTGGTTCCCAGTGGATCTATTTTTGGTTGTGTTGGAAGTGCACGCATGTGGAGACAGGTTCTTGGAACAGAGGCTCTGCTTCCTTGCCAGATCTCTTATTTATGGTCTTTCACATCCTAATCAGTCTACTCTAGGATGGTCCCTTAATTTCTTTCAAAATTTCATAATCCTCTTGAAGTCTGACAAATTTGATTGTCCAAAAAGTAATACGTGTAACTTTCAAACTTGCATTTTATATTACAAAACATATCAGTCACTAGAATAGATCATCAAAAGCACTATGACTTAAAGTTTGAATATGACATTGTACAATGTCATGAGATGCGCACTTTGACCCGGCTGTACTGAAAGGGTTGAAGGACAAGAGTAGTTGTTTTTCTTAACGTACAGTACATGATGAATCACATAGGCCCTACAATATTTACAAACATTCAGGATCATTATAGTAGTGGAAACAGAAAAATGATTGGTTGTTAGAATAAAGACAACAAAACATATCCGACAGTTGGTGAAATGTAAAGTTAAGAAACAAATAAAAGAAATATGTGTTCAGTGGCCCATTTTAAAACATATGTATAGAGTATATTTAAAAGATAGTTGAATAAAAAACAAGTGTCATATTAAGAAGTGAACAGAATGAATATTTAACGACATATTCAATTCAGAGAGAGAAAAATGGCTTAGAAAAGTAAAATGTCATTAACAGACAGTGGTTATGCTAGTTTTTTTATCCATGCATTCCTAACCACATTTAGCAAACATTTTGTGTAACACTATTATTTGTCAGCTTGAATCTGTAAAAATGAAGTCAATATTGATTCTTTGTTGTGTCTCATATAATAAACTATGATTCCTTTACTTGCATGTTTTTAAACAACTGGAAATCAATACGTACGTGATCTTTCCCTGACTTCATTGCAATACAATCCAAAGAAAACCATACACACATTGTTCACTGATTTAAAAACAAATTATCGAATCATATTTGAACTGTTTGCATGAATGCATATAAACAGATACAGATCAACAATTTTCCCTAACTTCATTGGAATATAACCTAAGAAAAATGATTTAAGAAAAATGATTGCCTCATTTTGAACTGCTTGCATACATGCATGAAGAACCTGTGTATTGATTGTATTGTTCGAAGCTGATAATAACTAACACACCACACCAGAAAGAAAAATCCACAATTTACAAACTTTAAAGCTGATTCATATCAGGTTTGCTTAGTAACTAGTATAATTACTGCTTTTATATTACACTGACAGATTTTTAAACAAATTTTGAAAATGTTATTTCGGTTAATAATCTAAAGAAAATTATTCAAAGTTTAGTTCATATTTAATTCACATTTGAATAAAAAATAAGTACTTAACAAAGAAGTTTGGTTTCAGTTGAAGACCTTTTTTTTGTGATCGATGTAAAACAAAGTTCTTGAAACTAAATTACAAATGAGTAATTGTATCATCTAAATTTTTTACTTTCTGTCATACTTAATCAAAATTAAAATAAAAAGTAAAAGCTAAAGAGTAAAAAGTAAATAAATAAAAACCAAAAGTGAACAGAAAATATCCCTAATGTTATCATGCACTTAAAAGGACGTGTATCAGTTAAATAAATTACTCATTGTACTCTCGTTCTTTTGCCAAGCTACCGTTACATAATATAAAAACACAACATACATAAACCATTATATTAAGTAAGTTAATAAATAAACAAATATGTTTATTTTGACTGACACATTTTACTTTTCACCATAAAACAGTAAAAGCTTAAATATTTGACTTCCATTATATATGCTGTTATGTATCATCCAAGCTGTCATCTAATCTACAAAGACATTTCTTTAATATAAAACCTTCATTTGAGGATTATGACATGATAACTGTACCATTTAAGGATTATGACATAACTGTACCATTTAAGGATTATGACATGATAACTGTACCATTTAAGGATTATGACATGATAACTGTACCATTTAAGGATTATGACATGATAAATGTACCGTTTAAGGATTATGACATGATAACTGTACCATTTAAGGATTATGACATGGTAACCGTACCATTGAAGGATTATGACATGGTAACCGTACCGTTGAAGGATTATGACATGGTAACCGTACCGTTGAAGGATTATGACATGGTAACCGTACCGTTGAAGGATTATGACATGGTAACCGTACCGTTGAAGGATTATGACATGGTAACCGTACTGTTTAAGGATTATGACATGGTAACTGTACCGTTTAAGGATTATCACATGGTAACCGTACTATTCATTCTAGAGCTGCCTTGATTTTTGGTGTATATATATTTTTCTTTTTTCAGAGTTGGTTTTAATGTATTTTTGGAGTTTACTGTATTTCAATATAATTAGGTTTATCAATTAAGTTATTAAATCAATATATATGTATTGTTATTAATTACCATATCTCTTTAAAATTCATCTTTTGGTTGTAGATCCAAAGTCATATTTGAACAACACTTGTGGAAAGCAGTTAACTGGACATTATATTATAAAACAAAAATCTCTCTTTCCCAAGTCAAAGAATTACAAATCTCTAAATCCAAATAGTGTTAATGGACTTGATAAAACTCCATTGAGGGTAAGTAACAAAAGAAAACATAAAATTTCCTATAATGAAGCTAAATCATGCAGTAATATTATGTGTGAAAAAGAAATGAAAATAAATCATCATCCAAAATTTAATGCAAAACCACACACTGGGAAGAAACAACACAGGTGTGTATTGTGTGGCAAGCAATTTCTAACAAATTGTTACCTAAAAATACATTTAAGGATACACACTGGAGAAAAACCATTCAAATGCATAGTGTGTAGAAAACAATTTGTGACACAGAGTAATTTAAAAATACATGTGAGAATACACACTGGGGAGAAGCCATACAGTTGTGTAGTGTGTGGCAAAGAATTTAGAACAAATACTCGTCTACAAGCACATGTGAGAATACACACTGGAGAGAAACCATACAATTGTGAGTTGTGTAAAAAGGGATTTCGAATCAACAGTCATTTAAAAATACATGAAAGAGTACATAGTGGTGAGAAACCATACAGTTGTTTAGCTTGTGATAAAAAATTTAGGAGTAAAAGTCAACTGAATGGGCATGAGAAAGTGCATACTTCAGAGAAAGCATACAGTTGTGTAGTGTGTGGAAGATTATTTGCAATGAATTCCTATCTACAAAAACATGTGAGGATGCACAATAGAGACAAACCATACAGTTGTACAGTGTGTAATAAAGGATACCAAAGTAAAAGTGGGTTAAAAAGGCATGAGAGGGTACATACTGGGGAGAAACCGTACCCTTGTGTAGTATGTGATAAAACATTTAGGAGTAAAAGTAATCTTAATAGCCATGAGAAGTTACACACTAGAGAAAAAAATTACAGTTGTTTAGAATGTGGTAAAACATTTGAGAGTAATAATGAAGTTAAACGACATGAAAGGATACACACTGGAGAAAAACCTTACAGTTGTGTAGTGTGTGGCAAAGAATATGGAAGAAGCAGTCATCTTAAAACTCATCACAGGACACATACTGGGGAGAAACCATATAGTTGTTTAGTTTGTGGAAAAAGATTTGGAAGAAATAGTTATCTTATTATTCATCAAAGGATACATAGTGGGGAGAAACCGTATTCTTGTGTAATATGTGATAAAAACTTTAGGAGTAAAGGTCAACTTAACAGACATGAGAAGGTGCACACTGGAGAAAAACCATACAGTTGTTTAGTGTGTGAAAAAAAATTTGTAACAAATACATATCTGCAAGAACATGTGAGGATACACACTGGAGAGAGACCATATAGTTGTGTAGTGTGTGGCAAAGGATTTCGAATCAATTATCAATTAAAAAGACATGAGAAAGTGCATACTGAGAAGAAACGATACACTTGTTTAGTTTGCGATCAAACATTTGGAAGTAAAATTCAACTTAATACACATGGGAAAATACATAATGGAAAGAAACCATACAATTGTTTAGTGTGTGGGGAAGAATGTGTAACAAATATCTTGCTTCAAGAACATGTGAGGATACACACTGTACAGAAACCATAAAGATGTATAGCATGTAATAAAGGATTTCAAATCAACAGTCATTTAAAAAAAAGACAAGAGTGACTATATACTGGCAAAAAACACATTTGTGTTGGATATGGTAAAGGATTCAGATGAAATTTTCATTTTAAAAATACACACCAGGAAGAGACCACATAGTTTTGTAGTGTGTGGTAAAGGATTAGGAATAAGTAGTGAGCTGTAAAACATGAGAATACATTCACTAGGGAGTAACCATGCAATTGTTTGGTGTGCGAAAAGTAATTTATTACCTCAAAAAGGTACACATTTGGAATAAAACTTCAAATATCTGGGTTAGATCTGATCAAATTAACTGATTACCAATAACCAGCAATCACTCTAATTAGTTTCACATAAAATGTTGGTTGATCAAAATTAGTATTTCCAATTATTACTGTTTTTAATTGTTCAAACTATCCAAATAATTGAAATGAACCAATTATATTTAGTACAATATTTCATTTTCTCTACAGAGATTTTGGTGATTAGAATTTTGATTTTTCGATTTAGCTTGAATTTCTTTGAGTATTTTATTGCATACTTAGCTTTGAATTTTGATTCATTGTTAGTTCAGTAATCACCATTAGTTATTTTTTTGTAACTCTATGCTATCAGTGGATGAGGGTTTTTCTCGTTTTATGCCTCAATTTTTTAATAAGTTCTTTTATATGTCCTATTTATCCATAGTTAAACAAGATTTTACTTTGTTTATTTTTCATAGTTTTCTATTGTATATAAAAGTTAATTTTGTGAATTATGTATTAGATGATCTCATGTGTATAGTGTTATCATGTATAACTTTTACATTATATACTTAATAGATTTATTTGATGCAGTTTAATTGTATTGTCATGTGTTATGTGTCATAGTTGAAGCTGTTTGTTGCCTGTATTGTATATATTATTACTGATAATAAAAGTAACAGTAGATTACGAGGATGATACAATTGTTTCTTCTAACTTTATATGGCTGAGCTCATTTCATAACTTGTAATTTTCTCACATTGACAATGATTTTGTTATAGATATCACTTTTTTTTTCACACACATAGTACATACAGTGTCAGCTGAACTATGTGTTCAATGTTACTGGTTTTGGTCGTTTTCTGTCAAGTACTAGATTTACCAATGATATAATTGATATATTTCAGGTGTAATTGCTACTGACCACTCTCTTTGGAAGGGGCTGATTTTTGGCTTTCTTTCAAGATAAGGCTGTGTCATACAGCTGATGTGAGGTCCATGTTTAAAAACTCATGCATTGTATGCAACATAAAGTGTAGCCTCATGGTTAATATCAGATTTGATCATACTCTAGGACCCAATTTTTTTATATATTTTTTTCCATATTTTGTGAGCAATTACTCCTTTTTGAAACTTGAATAAATACTTTAAGTTATGTGATATAGATGTCAGGGTAGATGCATTCCCTGGTTTATTGACAATGATTGTGGAATTGGATCAGGTTTATCACATGAACAGGATAGTTTGGAATATTGTGGGTGAGCTGTATGCTCTTGAATACTCATTATAATCCAAAGTATGCAGAACTAACAGAAAGAAATAAGTATCAGGATGTAAACCCAATAAAGCAAGTACTTCATAAATTCCACTTTTCAAATGCACTTGGTCTACTGGGGTTCCTTTCTGGTACTCTGACACTGTTAAACAAATTAAGATCTGCTTGCAGTTTTAGTATTTCTCAAACATTACCACCTCTTCTTGTATGACAGTTAGATGAACCACGAGTTGCTAAAATGGCTGATAACGTGTGAAAATCGAAAAGATATGACTGTACTTGGTGGTATTTGTGGACATTTAGTGTACTGTTCATTGTAGGTATTGGTTGCGATTAACATAATTTGGATAACTTGGAGAATTCCAGGTGGGTTATAGATCTAACTTGAATAGCTGTGGAAAACAGCATGGAAATGTTGACAGATATTCTCTCCAACCTGTGAGATCCTGTCTGTTTGTTGAATGTTCAAATACTAGACACTACACATCAGCAATAGTGAGAAATCATGCTAGTGGTAACAATTCTGTATTTGGATGGACACCCAAAATGACTGGTCAGGAACTTTAGGAACAGCAACTGAAGCACCCATGCAGCAGTAAGTACTTCAGGATGGGGAGCACCATGAAATGTACCACACTATTCTAAATATAATGGTTTGATACTTAACCCACGTTTGATGTATAAAACTATAGCAGAATACTGCAATTTCACATATTGCTGTGAACACTGCAGATCATCTGCACTGAGTGATGGCCATACATACGATCTGCTGGGGGCTGACCTTCTCATCGGAACATCAGTAGATTTGAAGAATAACCAGTTGTTCTGTACACCATTATGGTATACTATAGGAGCTCATCCTAATTAATGCAGTCAGTGTTCATAATATTAACAGTTGCATACTTGAATCTAAATCACTTGTTCAGGCCGGGTGTCAAAAACATGCTATGGCAAACAGTAACTGACCAAAATTTCAAGCATGATAACTGGGTTTGGCAATGATATATAACTCAGTTCTGGCTGGACTGATCCATATATAATCTGTTGACAGAAAAATGGGGTAAATTAAGAGTTATAGCGGTTGACAAGCTTAAACTTCTCTGTTTTTAATGAGCCCCTCAAAACCTAGTGAGATGAAAGAGCAGGTTGACTGATAAAAACAACACTGTGTAATATGATCTTGATTCAGTTGATGAAGAGGAAAAACTAGTGGTATATATCATGTGATTTGATAAAGAAACAATTAGAGGGGCAATCTCTGTTGCGATGATTGGCCAACAACAACTTCCTAATTATGATGACTGAGATTAACTGCTTGACCTGACTTGAGGATGGTAACTGAAAGAAAATTTCTTGTTTATTAAATGGTGGTTCGAAGTAAGATAAATTCAGTTTGTTGTGTGACAGTCTTTATATTATTGAACAGTAAGAATGACTGGTAGAAAGAGTAACAACTGAAAGAATCAGCAGTCTAGTGATATTTGGTGTTGATATGTTCTGATGTCTTGTGGTCATTACTCTATTTGTCTGGTTGAATGTCAGAATTAAAATATATTTTTTTTCTCCAACTGTCAAAATAAAAGGCTTTTACTTATACTTCTTAATAGTATAAATATATACTGTGTTGTTGTTGGGTTTAGGATTCTGCTACAGTAGGTGTCTGTGATTTTTTAGCGATAAATTCAACGATAAATAAACAGCACACACTTTACTTGTTTTCAAAATAACATATATATATTTGGAACAAGGTAAACGTATGTACAACAAATCCTTCAACACTACAGATATTATAGGCATATCATAAACACTATATATGTAGTTCTCTTCTTTTTGTCAAAAGTCCACTTAGACATACTCAATTACTTTAGAATTGCGGTTTACAAGCCGAACTATCTTCTCTGTTACTATCGCATTAGTATTCTCTTTGTGATTAACTTACAATTGTGGTCTTTTTTCTTCTAAATATCCTCTGTTCCTTTTGTCAAAGTGCACTCAGGCTGATTCGATTACTTTAGAACCACGCTTTGACGGAATAAATTCTTCTTCTTATCTCCTTTTCTATTATTAGTCTTACTTTAACATATTAAACGTTAGGCCTATGTTAATCGTTAGGCCTACCACTTCTATGGTAGTTAACTTCACACCGAATCTTTCCTTGTCTGTAACTTTTCTCTCTTCTGCCATTGTCTGCCTACTGTTTCCGCTTGTCTCACATTATATATATCTCTATCACTTAATCTCCTGCTTACATTTTAGAAATCTTTATATTCTAAATGTCAATGTATTGCATGTGATGTTTGATAATCTCAACATAAATGAATTATAAACACAACTTCTTACAATCGTCTACTTTTAATTCTTATTATAACAAAAACTAAAC